AATTTAAAGAATTCCTCACAATCTCAAGGTTTTACTGCAAAGTACTCTACGTCAGCAATACTTTTGACTAATTAACACGCTTTAAAGTGCGTACGACAGGTTTGCGATTCTGAAATTTTGACTTAATTTGGTGCGATTATACCTTTTGTAAATATAAAATTACAGTTGTGCACAAATTTGAGAAGAAAATCTGAAAAAATTTGTTGAAAATTACACGAAGCAGAAAGTTCTAAACGACATCACACTGGCAGAAATCTCCAAAATCCAAAAGTTCAGCACAATTTACACACAAGAAACACATTTTTCTGATACATTATTAAACAAAATAACAGTGTTTTCTTATGACGAGGAGAAAATTCAAAGTTAGTTTGACTGAAGACTCTGAAGAAGCAGCTTGGATGAGCTGCGAAATGTCTTCAACCAAACTAACTTTTGTCCAGTTGACAAACTGAATTTTCTCCTCGACATGGATTCTACCTGGACGACTGAGGGATTCTTCACGCAGTGTTTCTTATATTTTTATTTGTAAAATAATAATAATTTCTGTGTACAGTTTGGTTTTGTTGCTAGGCAGAAATTATGGAATTCCCTAGTGTGATGTCAAAATTTCCACCCAGGATTTTAAAATTTTGGTAACACTTTAGATTAGGGTCCATATATTAATTACTAGTTAATAATAAAATGCATAATAACTGCTTAATTAAATCTTTATTAGTATTTATAAAGTACTTTTAATGCATTTTTATCTAAGGCCAAGTTTTGTGAGTACTAACCCATTAACTATTTTTCTTCTCGTTAAAGTCGTGGAGATTACAATCGATGGTTTTGTGCAGACTCTGAAATCTTAATAAGCCATAATAAGTGTTCGATTAATGCCAATTAATAGTTAAGTAACATAACAATTACCACAGGAGTGTCCAAACTTTTTTCATCAAGGGCCACATAAACACAGACGAAGCAGAGGGTTGATCGAGAGCTGCAAACTGGAGCTCAATACAGTGAATAATCAAAATATGTGCATGTTTAACACGTAGAATGAGCCATCAGTCTTTATTCACGCTAAGATCCTTAAAACCCACACACTAAATATTAAATATGAGCTTTATCAAGGTAGATTAAAAAAAAAATGCAGTAAAAAATAAAATTCTAATTGATGCAAGGTCATTTGGGCCAATTCACCTGGAAGCCTGAGGGGCCAAGAAACATTTGTCTGAGGGCCGAATTTCGCCCACGGGCCATATTTGGACATGCCTGAATTACCACTTAGTCAGCGATGAATATGTGGCCCCTAAATGAAAGTGTTACCAGAATTTTAATCCTAAAACTGGGGAAATGATTGATCGATTTATACTTTTTCTTTTTAATAAGTCTTGATTATTTCTAGTGTGTTTAAGTCAAATGAGTCGTCTAATCTGTCATAGGCACATTAAGGCACAATAAATCTCCAACACAAGAGGCATTTCTGGTTCTAAATGTAAAATTTCTATTCATTTTTCCGCAAAAAAAATCCAATATTTTAAGATGAAGCAGGCTGATCATTTATGGCGTAACTTCTCACCATAAAACGATTCCATTCTCGATATTTTCTTCTATATTATGATCTAAGAAACCTAAATATAGTTTGTGATACAGGCAAATGTTTCAAACTTTAAATTGTTGTCTCAAAACGAGTGACTCCATTGTTGATTCGGTTTCATCAAATTGAGGAAACCAAGTTGGAAAAAATGGACAAAAATTGAAAGAAAGCGACGGTGTGGCTGGCCAGGCTCGACGATCTGTTTCTTTTTTGAATCCCCTCCATTTTAGCGGACGATCTGAATGAAGTGTGTGTGTGTCGTGCGTCGGTCGGTCTCGTCGTGTTTGTGCACTCTGTCGCTGGGCAGGCTCTCCTCCGCAGCACCAGGGGGCAGTGCGGGCCGCCCTCACACGTTTGCTACTGATGTTAAACTGGGGACAGACGAGCATGTTTTTAAGCCGCTCTTTTGATCTCTTTAGCGGGTAGTCGACTCACAAGTGTAGTTTTTGCTCCTTCTTGTCTGATTCTTAAATAAAAATAAGTATTTTAATTCATTTTGTAAATACAGCTGTAAAGAAGAATAAGAAATTTAATGTTGTCTTTTAAATACTTTTCATTCTAATATGAATGTTGTTATATTGTACTTAGAAACTGTACCTTTAATATCACCTTTATGATAAGTGCATTGGACACATCGATTTTTGATGTGCTTTATGTGCTGTTCTCCCATAATAAAATTTACCGCTTGTACTGGGTTTCTTTTACTGACTGCATCGGTTCTATTCTCTTCTTCTCTCTCCGTTTAAAGCTGCACTGTGTCACTTTTCTGTCGGGGAGTCTCCATGGCAACAGCTTTGCCTGGAACGTAGAATCTAAACGTAAATATCTCCATCTATTCTTTTATAATTGTGATTTTTTGTGAATAAAATCGCTTAAAACACAAAACATAAAGCAGAATGGGCTCGCCTCTCCACAGATTCGAGCTGTAACTTGGCTCAGTGACGTCATTTGCTGCTTTTTCACGTGGAGATAAATGAGTTTAATGCCCTACTGTGGAACATTCCAGGCAAAGCAATAACATCCACTAGAAAAATGACAGTGCAGCTTTATAAACGATCAAAGCGTACAACATTTTGAAAAATTTAAATGTGGGAAATATTTGTCTAAATATGAATGAGTTGGGTTTTTTTTTTAGATAGATAGACAGAATAAATAGATAGATAAATAAGATAGAGTAGATTTAGATAAACGAACGGACAGACAGACAGATTTTATTTGCACATATATTAAAAACTATTTTGAACAGACAAAAACAGAAATGACTGTGCAGGAGAGAATGAAAAGACCTTATTGCTCTTATAAGATCACCTCCCATAGTCCAGTGAGGAAACAGATTTGAGAGTATTTGCTAAATTATTCCAGAGGGTCGGTCCTCTGAATTTGAGCGTTCTTTGATTCGTGGAAGTTCTGCACAAGGGAAGATAAAAGTCTCTGCAGTGTCTCATAGTTTAGGTGTGAACATCTGAAGAGAAACAGATGTGGGTAAAACATTTGACAAATGCACATATTTATACATGAACGACAAATAAAATATATGTTTACATTAAATATTGTCAGAATATTGTATTTTCTGAACAGAGAACAGATGAGGACAATCTGTGTGAATAATTCATGAGTCTTAAAAATTTCATTTGTATTAACAAAATCTTGTTGAGATAAATCTTACATGTAGAACCCCCAAACCATGTTACAATAGACCAGGCATGTCTCAACTGTGGCCCATGGGCCAAATGCGACCCTCAGACACATTTTTCTTGTCCCTCAGGCTTCCAAGTGAATTGGCCCAAATTACCTTACATCAATTAAAATTTAACTTTTTATTGCAATTTTTTTTTTTTTTTTATCTACCTTGATAAAGCGAATATTTAATATTTAGTGTGTTGGTTTTAAGGATCTTAGCGTGAATAAAGTCTGATGGCTCATTCTAACATGTTAAACCTGCACATATTTCAATTATTCACTGTATTGAGCATCAGTCTATGGCCCTCGATCGTCCCTCTGCTTTGTCTGTGTTTACATATGTGGCCCTTGATGAATAAAAGTTTGGACACCCCTACAATAGACTTAACACTTAGACTTAGACAAACCTTATTGATCCATAAGGGAAATTATTTGGACAAAGGAGCTTACACTTCACAATATAATATAATAACATAATAATAGTAGAAATATTGTTCACTGCTGTGTAAAATGCAATTATTTTTGAACCAGCTCATCGCCTCGAATGACCAAATCAATCAGAGGTGGCATATTTTGGTAAAAAAAAATATATATATATAATAAAAGTACTAATATAATTTTTATTCATAAGCAGCTTTCAGAACACACAAGGACACTGTACAGAACAAGATAAAAACACAAAATAGGAGAATAAAATAACATCAAATATAAAGTTTATTGGTGTAGGTCTTTAAAAACTTTACTTAATTCTAATCTCTGCCAGAGGTGGGACCAAGTCATCGTTTTGCAAGTCTTGTGTCTCAAGTCTTTTATCTCAAGTCCGAGTCAAGTCCCAAGTCAAACACAGGGAAGTCCAAGTCGAGTCTTGAGTCAATGGCCCATAAGTCCAAGTCAAGTCCAAGTCGTCTGTTTTGAGCTTCAAGTCATTTCAAGTCTTTAAACCAAAAAAGTACCAAATACAGCTTAGATTTTTGCTATTTATATGAATTTTAAACTAAATTGTACCTAAAAAGTCACAGTATGTATGTATGAGTATTGATATTTAATTAATTTTGACAAGAGTGTGAATCATTACAGTCAGAATAGAAAAAAATAGGATTTAAAAGTGTTTAATAACAGTTATTTTGTCATGAATTCTGCACTGAAATGAAAGGATCATGTTCTTTGTAGTTCCCTCTGTTTTACTGTGTTGTACTGTATATTACTGTAGTACATCTGAGGATACCACATGACAGTACTTCAGTTATATCCAAAGTAACAAATAGAGAAGTGGGAGGGATTCTAGTTTGTTCCTGCAAAATTAATCACTGCATTTATTAACTATAAAGAGAGACGTATTTTCTATAAACATAAATATTTTTTAGAAGAAGCATCGAGTCTTCTCAAGTCACTGACCTTCAAGTCCAAGTCGAGCCCCAAGTCTTTGTCTTTTTTTTTTTTTTTTTAAATCAAGTCTCAAGTCCTCAAAATAGTGACTCAAGTCTGACTCGAGTCCAAATCACCCACCTCAGCTCTCTGCTAATTATAATCTTTGAAGAAAACGGTGAGAACAATGCATACATCTCAGTAAAAACACATTATTATTCATATTAGCATTATTATTTAACTGATAAAAAGCAGATGAAAGGTTAATAGAGCGAACTCGATCAGGTTAAACAAAGATAAACCTGTTTTTACAACGGTGCAGTACCGTAGTGGCGCCTGTAGGTGGCGAGCACGCCAACAGGTTACCAGGAGAAGAAGAAGTCCGTGTTGTTTTTAGCATGACGTCACTTAGCATGTTAGCATGTCGTTAGCGTGTCGTTAGCCTCGTGACTCTTGGACACGGATCATTTTTTCCTGTTTTAAAAACTGTTGAGATAAACGCTCATGGAGATCGTTTGGTGAGTACTGTTCAGACTAAATACTTTATCACGTTTGTTAAATTACTTCTCACAAAACTTGTCATTAGACTCGGACACGTGTGAGAGTTTATAAGTGCGGATGAACTGAACACACGATAAATGTAGGATGATCAGACGTTCCTATTTGTCCCTTTTTACCCGGGACAGTCCCAGTTTTGAGCTCTGTGTCCCCTGTCCCAGCAGATTTATACAAAACCACTGATTTGTCACGGTTTTATACAAAAAAATGTCCATTGTGTTGCTATTTTGGACCAATCTGATCCCTGCCAACAGTAAAGAGAGGCATAAATCTGCTTAAAATGACTAAAAATACACACACAAAAAAAAAAGTGACTCTTACACACAAATGTCCTTAATTACGCACTCGTTTCACAATTTTATATTTTATTATTATTTATTAAACACCACAAACTGAGGATGTCCCAGTTTTTTGATTTTGAAAATCCGGTCACCCTAAATAAACGCCCTTAACTGATTTAATGACAACTATAGAGTGTCCAAACGTCTCTGTTTACCCTGGACAGTCCCAGTTTTGAGCCTGTGTCCCCTGTCCCAGCAGATTTATACAAAACCATTGATTTCCCACTTTTATGCCAGAAATGTCCCAAGTGTCCCTATTTTTGACCAATCTGATCCCTGCCAAAAGTAAAAAGAAGCATAAACTGTCGTTTGTAAAGGTACAATACAGAAAAGCTGCTTAAAAATGATCAAAACACAAAGAAAATGTGACTATACTGACTCACATGTTTGCCATGAATGGGCCAAGTGCAGAACAAATTAACTGAATTGCGCACTCGTTTCCAATTTTATATTTTATTTTTGTTTATTAACCACCACAAACTGAGGAGTTTTTGGTTTTGAAAATCTGGCCACCCTAAATAAACTCCCCTAAATGATTTAATGACAACAGTAGAGTGTCCAGATGTCTCTATTTACCCGGGACAGTCCCAGTTTTGAGCTCTCTGTCCCTTGTCCCAGCAGATTTATACAAAACCATAGATTTGTCCCACTTTTATACAAAAAAAATGTCTCAGGTGTCTCTAATTTGGACCAATCTGATCCCTGCCAACAGGAAAGAGAGACATAAACTATCATTTGTATAATTAAAAAACAGAAAAGCTGCTTAAAAATGACTAAAAACACAAAAAATATGACTCTTACACACAATTTTCCGTAATTACGTACTGGTTTCACAATTTTATTGTTTTTTTAATTATTTATTAGCCACCACAAACTGAGGATGTCCCAGTTTTTGGTTTTGAAAATCTGGTCACCCTTGTTAGGCGTGTTCTATAAAAAATGACTAGACTCAATCAGTTTAAATTACAAAAATTTATTCCCCTGCCAATACAATTCTAATACAGAGCTCTGGGTCAAATCGCTGTCCCTGATGGCCTCCACTCACGCAGGTGTTACGCCAGGCAATCTGACTGCCTGCCTGTCCCTCCATCCAGATAAATAACACAACAGTATGAATATGCATATAATATGTTGAGCAGGTTCACGCCTTGAATCGTCCTTGAAGTTTCAGCATTTCTTCTTTGGGGAAGTGACAACCCCCACCAAACCATTGTAAATCACACCAAGTCTGCTTAGATAAGACAGCCTGGGTTATCTCCACAGTCCCAGATCTGTAAAGGAATGTCCCTAAAAGTATAAATCTGTTTCCCATTATTTAGGACACACAGGGCATTACCTTTAAACATTAAACAATGTTCAACTCAATGTATAACTTCATTGAACAGTATTCAAACCACCACTTGATACAGCCTTCACCCTAAATAAACGCCCCTAACTGATTTAATGACAACAGTAGGGTGTCCAACTGTCTCTATTTACTCGGGACAGTCTCAGTTTTGAGCCCTTTGTCCCCTGTCCCAGCAGATTTATAAAAAAACACAGATTTGTCTCAGTTTTATACACAAAAAAAGTCCCAGCCCAGGTGTCCCTATTTCTGACCAATTTCATCTAAACCAGGACTAAACTAAGATTAAACCAGGACTACATCAGATCTAAACCAGCATAAATTGTCATCTGTTTGCTAAAATACAAAAAAAAAGTGTTTGCAAATGACCATAAAGCAAAAACAAAAGCAGCACCAGAAGTCCCACAGATCATGACTGACACGAGAATGCACAATGTTACACGCTCTTCTTACTATTTTATTTATACCAACCATCCCGACCTGAGTGTGTCCCAGTTTAGAATTTAGAAAATCTGGTCACCTCAGACAACAGACAGTTTGTGATGAGATTAAACAGGCCAAATCGAGCTCAAACTGTTATTCCTGTGTAAAATAGTTTTCTGTAACCTAGATCAGTGAATCTACTTTGTGTCCTAACTACAAATTTGACTTTGTTTTGACACTGAAGGGAAGATCCTCCTGTTCCCGAAGGTCTTATTTTCAGCAGGGATCTTTATGACAAAATTGGATTTGGCCCCACCATTCAAGAGCTGTGGAGCTTCCTACAGAGGTATCCATCACACACATGTTTGTTTTGTGTTTTTAGACCAGATCTTTAAAGGGCCAGTGTTATTTTCTAATCTACAGTATGTTATAATGTTGTTTTTTCATCACAAACAGACCTGGAGTTGTGTTTTGTTTCATTCACACATGTTTAACACACAAACCCTGCATTTTTAGGCTGAGTTCTTCATCTCTTTTCCACCTTGTGATGTCATGTGGTAATAAAAGAAGTACACCACTGTGTTTTAAACTCCATACACCTTCACTAGAATAAATAATAACACATATTTATTCATAAAGCACTTTTAAAAACAAGGTTTACAAAGTTCTGTACAAACAGCAATGAACAATACAAAAAGCATAAAAATAGCATCCAGAAAACACAAAAACAGACAATGATGCAAATAAGTCAATACATTAAAATAAATAAATAAATAAATAGAATAAAAATAAATAAGGAATATAATCAAGCTAAAACCAGTTAAAGGAAATCCAACTGTTAAAAATGATTTTTAAGATGTGATTTAAAAGATGATACTGATGGTGTGAGCCTCGTCTCCTCAGGCACGTCATTCCAAAGCCGAGGCTCCACCACCTTTGTCTGGAGCCTGGACTTTGGAGCAGCCACATGGACCTGCCTGAGGGTCTAAGGCTGCGGGAGGCTCGTACGGGGTTAAAAGTCCTGAAATATAACTTGGTACAAGACCTAAACAAGCTTTAAAAGTGATCAGCAACATGTTAAAATCAATTCTAAAACACACAGGCAGACCAGTGAGAATCACTAGAATTCACTAGAATCATTTGGATCATTTCAGTTTTGGAATTGTCGATCTATACTGAACTAAAGGTAAAAAGGACTTGTAAACTGTCTCTTAAACTAATTATAAAGGGTTAATCAAACATGTGTGAATGAAATAAAACATAACTCCAGGTCTGTTTTGGAGGTAACAACATTCTAATGTGCTAAAAGCTCACAGGAGTCACTTTTTTATAATTTGTGTGACCTGTGATGTTCTTTAATTTTTTTTTTATCAGCTCAGACAATAACAGCCCTGCCAAAGAAAGCAGCAGCGTTCACACTCAGAGCACTCCTGCAGAAGAGCATGGACAGAACAACAGCGTCAGAGAGGAGAGCAGCTGGAACAGCTGTGATTCTGAGGACTCCACCATGGAAACTGAAGACTCTAAAACCGTGACGGAACCTGATAAAACGAACCAAAAGGGCAAAGTTCCATTTCCAGAGCCCCGAGTCCCGTACCCCTGTTTGTCTGCGCTGTCCAAAACCGAGCAGAGGAAGTGTCTCAACTTTCTGTTCAGTCGCAAGAAGGAGGTCCCTCTCTCACAGGTCTGACTCTGGAGTGTGCTGTCTTTGAAAATGTTTGCCGCTTATTCATATATTTTATTTATTTTGTCAACAGGTCATATTGACTAAAGTTAATAATGAAATAGCGCAGTTTATGAAGTATCTGCAAGATGTGTCCAGAATCTGCGCTGAAGACTACAATGTCATTTCCCAGGCAGCTCGGCAGTATTCTGAGGTAAACCTACGTCGTGCTTCTTTTGTTTAGTGACAGATTTAAACACAACAGTCTGTGTACGATTTTGTACTGTAAACGGTCCGGTCAGTCACAACTCACCTCCTCTACACACTGCATTCTGATTCATCACGTGTTTTTTTTCTTTTATTTTCATCTAAGAGAATTCCTCACAATTTCAAGGTTTTACTGCAAACTATAATACCTTGAAGTTGGTAACACTTTTGACTAATTAATGTGCTTTGAAGTGCGTGTGACAGGTTCTTGTCATTCTCTAATTTTGACTTAATTTGGTGGAATATTATTAGTCAGGCTGGTGCCACCTAGTTCCTCCGCTCAATTTCATTTCTCTCCAGCGACTAGATCAGGAATCAGAATACACTAGACGGTTCACTAAAAGCCAAAAAGTGAGTGTTCGGGCACCAGCCAATCAGTGAAGATCCTTCTTCCTACGGGATTTGGCAAAAGCTTAATATACCAGTCAACCCCGATAGCAGCGCATTACATATGTCAGGACCAAATAGCAGCGATTGGTTAAATTAAAAAAAGTACCTGCCTATCATTGCGTGAATGAATTCTAACACTGCGAGGTCAGACTGTTTCTACGAAGTGATAATGAACGAGGCTAGAATAATTATAGTTGTACACAAATCTGAGAAGAAAATCTGAAAAAATATCTTGAACATTACAGGTAAATTGAGAATTCTAAACACACTGATGATGTGCTCCAGAAGTTCAACACAATTTACACACAAGAAACACATTTTTCTGGTACATTATTTAGGCTGCGTTTATATGATGACGGTCTGAACAGAAGACGCAAAAGTGCTGTCGCTTCTTCACTTTCTATTTCGCTTTTAGACGAGCGTTTTCGGGAGGAAATCTGCGTGCATACGGTGACGCAAAAGTGTGTGGAATTCAATTGGGTCTGCATACCCACTAGTATCTTTGCATATTCAGTATCTCTGCATATTCTGTACATTTGTTGGGATGCCTCTTGTAAGTTTATTCAAGCTGCCAGAGCACCTCGAAGCTCCAACACATGGAAATGATCCAATATGTTTGTTTCTGTGTCCTGTATGTATGTGACTTAAACACGTACGCAACATGAGCAGATCTGACCAGAGTTTTGCGTCTTGTGCAGTGTTGACGGAAACACTACGGCGGAGTGTATTCAATTTTTCCACTCTGGAGGGTGGTTTCAGATTTTTGCGTTTTTAAGCCCCAAAAACGCCAACACCGTCTAAACGAAAGCCACTTCTGATAAAATATTTTGTCATTTTTACCTCGTGTAAACATGCCCTTAAACACTAACGTAATGTCACTCTTCTCAGGAGGTTTTCCGCAGCAGTTTGGAACACATAAAGGCCCTTCCTCCGTCCTACCAGATCCACGAGCTGACCAGTCTGACCGGGGGCAAGTTTAACCCAGAGCTCAGTCTAAGATTTGAAAAGCAGCTTCTCCACATGGTGAGTTTTACCTGCTGTTAGTGCCAGTGTCATGGCTTTATAAAGTTCTTCAGTCCTGTTGTGCCCTGGCAGCTGTGGATACACGGCTCTTTGTTCTCTCTCTCTGTTGCTCCAGGGCAGTGTGGATGTTGCACACGACAGGCCACTGAACACTGGGGCTCAGCTTGCATCGGATTATCAGACTGTTTCATCACTTTGTCCTCCAGCTAAAAAAGCAAAGGAGCTGCACGCTGTAAGTCATTGTCTTACTTTTTTAATTACTCCAATAGAGTCACTGCTGAATCTGCCTCAGGTCTGCTGTAATGAGCTGCTGCAGTTTTCACAAAAGACACCAGGGGGCGATAAAGTCTTGATCCTTAATACAATAGTTGTCTAAAGTGAAAGATGAAGGGAGATTCCGCAGACTGGTGCTGGCAGTTTCTGATTTGTGTCGTGTTTTTGTCATGTTTTAGAGGATAACTTGTCTCTGTGCTTCAGTCCGTCAGCAGTGACACAAACGCAGCCAGACTCTGCAGCGGCTACGAGCCTCACGTGTGTCTGACCCACGAGGCCTTAGTGCAGCTCCTCAACAACCACGGCCCCGACTTCAGAGACGAGTGGGAGCTGCCCGTCCTCATCAAAACCAGCCCCTCTACAGGTGAGGCCCTGTGAACAGAAGGGACGCAACCATACAGTTTTCCCCATGATTCAATACGCCTCTCGATACACGGGTCACGATATCGATGCGATTTCGATACATTTTAAAATGCAAAAAAAAAAAAAATCTCATGTAATTTTTTTCTGCTAATGAATATGATATAATAATAATAATAATATAATAACCCTATGATATTAATGAAACAATACATATATTACACACAAGGCATTACAGTACAACTACTGTACAGCTGGAGTTTTTATGTGAAGTGTTTTAGGTCATCTGGTTCAATTGATCCAGTTTTTATTCAGTAAAAATAAGAACAGAGCTTTCTCAGGCAATTTTATATTTTATAATATACCTGTCTACTCTTAATATAGACTGCTAGGAGAGTTTAACTATCAAACTTTTCCTTGATTTGATGATTTGATGATTTTCTCCTGAGTCCTCTCACTGCATTCACACACTCATCCCCCCACCACCAGTAACTCCTCCCACACTGTCCTGTTTGTGGCACACTTCACTCTCCCATCCTCTTCCTGGACACTAAAACTATATATAACTATATATATTACATTGAAATGTCTCAACAGTTCATTTTCTGAGTAAAAGAGTTTAAGAAAACATCGCGTATATCGTGTTGCTTATGCCTGTACGAATGCTTTTGATGAAAGCTGATGTAAAGCGATTCTAAAGTATTTAAAAGTGAATATCTTTGTCATTCCTGGGTCTATCAATGTAAAATAAAAAGTGACTGTGAATGATAAAACTCTCCTCTGTTAGAATATTTCAGCTGTAAGTCCCTGTGGAGCTGTTTTCTGCTGCATCTGACAAGGACACTGTGATAACTGTTCTCCTTTTGGACCAAAATAAATGACAGCACAGCTCGCATAGAGGGACACACGTGTATCAAACGAACACGTGTATCGAATCGTGAGACCAGTATCAAACCATTCAATATTATATCGAGTATCGTTGCATCCCTAGTGAACAGCTGTGTGGGGCCACAGAGGCTCTAAAGAGGTATTTTTTATTATTAAGAGTCAAGAATGTCACAGAAACAATACATTAAGCTGTAGCTGTAGTCTCTCATTCACTCTCACAAACACACACACACACACACATTCATGGGCCAGACACTGCAGCTGGGCCGAGTGTGCACGGGGCTGGTCGAGGATTACACTGCTGTCATTTGGATTGATGGGCCTGTGTCATCTCTCTTTGTGTTGAATCATTAGTATTCGTACCGTACAGTCAGCAAACATTCTGAATAAAGGAAGAGGGTTTCCTCGGGCTACTACTACAGCAGTACTACAGTTTTCTTTATTGCCAATAATGGAGTGTGTTTGAAATGATCTCGAAATATCACTGTCCAACACTTTGTCACTGTAATGCACTTATTCTCCACAGACAAAAGTCCAAAGAAAACGGTGTACATCGACTCTCCGCTGCTGAAGACGGAGGTGACGGTGCGAGAGCGGAGCCACATTTATCACGAAGAGTCTCTGAAGCTGTTCATCAGTAAAGCCTCCACCACGAGCGTGTCTGAATTGATGACAGAACTCCCCCCCAGCGGGCAACCTGCACTCGTGAGTCCAGTTAATGCTTCTATATTGTACACATTTTAATATAATGTTTGCATTTTCTTTAATTATCACGAGGTTGTCTCTTTCTGAACTGGTGAAAATGCTTGGTTAGATGTTTAAACATTCTATATGATGCAAAATTGGCGCTTTAATCCATGTTAGAATGTTGTTACCTCCTCAAAAACAAACCTGGAGTTGTGTTTTGTTTCATTCACACTATAATCCTTTATTATTTGTTTGTTCACCTTTCCAAAAAACACTTTCTGTATTTCCATATTTTCTGTTTGAGAGAAGAACTCAGCCTAAATCTGCAGGGTTTGTGTTTTAAAGATGTGAGAATGAAACAAAACACAACTCCAGGTCTGTTTGTGATGAGAAAAGTGGATATATAGTTAGTATTATCTTGCAAATACTGTGGCTAATTTGCCTTGTCAACATGCTGCATACTCATGTGTTGCCAGTAGGGGGTGACAAACATCTATTTCAAACATTCTCTCAGCGCTGACACAAACTTTCAATCCTGCATTTTAATTTTATCTACAGTGTCCCAAAAAATGTACAGAATTTTAAAAGCAATTATCTTGAATGAAAACTACTAAGTCGAGCTCAGTGATGATGTCGATGTTGGTCCACCAGAGCCTTTCTCTTTAAATTTTTTCAGTACCAAGTCCAGATTTGTTTGCCAGTTGGTGAAGTTTTTCCAGATTTTGCATTTTTTGAAGGCTGCGCAGTCTTGGGTGAGTGTGTGCGAGCAGATCCCAAGACGCAAAATGACTTCTGTTTGGGAGTGAACGGCTCAACCTGAAAACAGAACAAAAATTAGACTTAGACTTAGACAAACTTTATTTATCTACAAGGGAAATTATTTGAACACAGCAGCTCACACATCACAATAAATATAATAACAATGAGTGAAAGTATAGATGGTAATAATAAACTCTAAATAAGTAGCAAAGAACAGGTTTTAAATAAGACATAATTTTATAAATGTAAATGTAAATGTACAAGTAAAAATAAAATGGAAAGATAAGTAATAAAATATAAAATATATAATAAAACATTTAAATAAAATTTAAATAAAATCTTGATCTGTTTCTATACATTCTGTGAAAATTTGAGGTTATTTCAACAAGAACTGCCAAAATTATTGACCTGCGAAATTATGTCCAATTTTAGGGATGCCCTGTACATCTATTTTTTTAATTATTTTTTTTATGTTTATAGATTTTCTGTCATCTTGTGTTCTAAGTTAGGCAAAATAAGCGTTAAATTTCAGCCTAAACCTCCTCGGTCTGTAGAATTCAGAAATAAGAAGTGTTATGCATTATTTTTGTGTAATTCATGAACCATTGTAAGAAAAATATTAATAATGATTATGCCAAGTGACTGGAGGTAATTAACAAACTAACTAGAGATATTTGCACTTTTTACCGCATCAGCTATCAGTCTTAAATCTCCAGCCCAGGCCAAATTTAGCATAAAACTTAATTTTTTATTACTACTACAAAGAGGATACTGTACAAAATGTGACTACACGGCTCTCTGATACAGTTTGTAGTAGTGTTGTACTATTCTAGACTGGGTTTTTTACAGTCTTGGGCTCGTCTTGGACCCGAGCGCATTTGGTCTTATCTCGGTCTCGAGGTCTGACACTGGATGAGTTTGATCAGATTTCATTACGACGGGTAGATATGCAGAGGCTAAACATCACTGCAAAAAACAGTAAGAACATGTAACTGTAAATGTTATGAACTTGAAAAAACCCACTTGATTCAGTTTGAAGCAGTTTTCTGTAAAGTGCCAGTGGAAGTGGGATTAAAGTTCTCAAATTGTGCCCCTTTATTTGGACCCTGACCCAGAGAGTTTTTAAGTGGTGTACAGTTTGCTTTGCCTGTTTTAAGTCTAAATGAACATTAACCAAATCAGATGGAGCTAGATTTATAAAAAACACTGATATGTATGTGCCAAAATAACTTTAAAATACAAAATTGTTAGCAAAATGCGATTGATTTGTCTTTGATTTTGGGCTTTTCTTTTAACAAACATTCTGCTCCATCAGTGATTTTTAATCTACAGTATAATCAAAGGGTCACTGGCTAAAATATATTCATTTATAGTAACTCGCACAGTTTTCGATCTAGAACAATGGAATATTCAGCGTTCGGAAATCTTAAAAGGCAAAATTGCATATTCTTTTACAATGACAAACTATTCAAGTGGATACTCTTACAAAACCATTTAAGTACAACAGCTGCACATCAGACTGAGAACACATCTGCACTGAATGATTATTAATTTAATCATTATTAATTTAATATTAGGAAATGACAAAGGTGGTCTCGACTTGGTCTCAGTGGGCCCCGGGCTTGGTCTTGTCTTGGTTTGGACCTTTAAAAGTCTTGGTTTTGTCTCAGTCTTGACTCTCAGAGGTCTTGTCTTGGTCTCGGGACCCTGTGGTCTCGGACTGGTCTTGGTCTCGATTAGTGCGGTCTTGACTACAGCACTAGTTTATAGTTAAACAGGTTTGTGGGTGAGTTTACACTAAATTCGAATCATGCAAATGGGGAAGAATCATCAAAATCAGCTCTAAATATTGGCCAAAAAATATCAACAGAGTTTATCGGCTTCTCTGGATTCTGAACAATTGGTATCATGTCAACATTGTAAAGAAACAAAATGTATCTCTCAGTCTCTCAAACTATTTATTTGTTTACAGGAGAGGATCTCGGCCCCTTCAAACACTGACAGCCTTGACTTTGACGTGGACTTGAGTGATCTGGAAACTTTTGGAGAGACTACATCAAGTAAAATGCCTATAAAACAGACGAAGACAGAAGACGGTTCAGGTGTTAAAAGCGAAAAGATCACGGATCAGACCAGAAGTTCGGGTAAAAAGGAAAGCAGGATTTTAAAGGAGGACGTGAAGAACGCAGAGTCTCATTCTGTTAAAACCAGAACCCCTCAGAGCAAAAACAGTGACCAGGAAAGCAACAGCAGTTTGTTAATTGGAGATTCAGACGATGACAAGTTAATTATCGAGCTCTCTAAAAGTCCAGAGTTCAGTTCTCCCACATCAAGGAGCCAACGGAAGAGGAAAACGAGCTCTTCTGAGGATCAGCTGGGTCAGATTCTCCAAATGCAAACCGCCATGTTCACTTCAAACCCCAGCGACGGCGCCAAGTCCTCAAACGCGCCGCAAGAAACCAGCCCTGCGTCCAAACAGCCCGGCCCCTCCCAGCCCCACGCGACCTCTCTGGTGAAGGCCTGCGTGTCCTCGTATCTGGAGAGGAACCCAAACCAGGAGGAAGAGACCGGAGATGTGCTCCACGCTGCTGCTACTCCAACAAAGTCCACCGAGCTTAAAAGTCAGTCTCCATCACATTTCGTTTTTATACATATATTTATTTATACTGTATTTTTCGGTCTATAAGTCGCACCAGGCAAAAATACGTAATGAAGAAGAAAAAAAACATATAAGTCGCACTTTTTGGGGTAAATTTATTTTATAAAATCAGAGACCAGGAACAGACATTTCCGGTTGAAAGTGAAGTTTGAGTAAAAACAATAGAAGTAGGGGTGTGCAAAAATATTGAAATATCGATATATCGTATCGCTTAATGTGATGATACAGTATGGATATCGTGGGCTGCTGTATCGATATATCACCAAGAGTATTTTTTGGTATATTTTACTAAATTATTTTGTTACAAAGCTACAGTTTTGTTGTTTGTTCAGAGGAAGGAAACTTTTTTATGCGACACATTTGACATTTTCACTGTTTTGAGGATTAAAATGTTTGTGTTTCATATGAAATTTGCACAAGAAGTGATTTAACAAAAACTTTTAGTGTCACACACATGATTTAAACTTTATTTTTATTGAACCGTATCGAATTTGAAATATATCGTATTGAATCAAAAGCTCACTGTATCGAGATATGTATCGTATCGTGGACTATGTATCGTATCGGCAACTTCTTATTGATACCCAGCCCTAAATAGAAGAGAGAACAGACTGTTGACAAGTCACATAAGAACAGTTCTTCAGATAACTATTAAGGTTTTGCGTCTACGTCACAAACACACGTGACCTGGTGTTGATGCCGCCACATTGGAGTCAAACTTTCCATCGGACGAACGTGTAGTATTTGTGTGCGTTAAAATTAGAATTGAGTAATGATGGTTTTGACCATTTTTGATAAAATGATAAAGATCGCCGACAGAGGTGGAGAGCGACATAAAAAGTGACTACTCCAATAAGACTATAAGACAATAAAACTAGTATAAAATCTAATAAGAGTAAGATTACCAATAAATAAAAAAAATAAACAACATAGAATAAATAAAAGTCACAGAGGACCACACAACTCCTTGATAACACATTTTGAAGTATGATATTTTGCTGAGGTAAATACAGTAAATATAAACGATAATACTTAAAGGTTGTATAGAGGATTTTTTAAGGAAAATGAAATACAGCGACCGTCCTTTTTCAAATGTTGTGCATGTGTGACACCACCTCCCTCCTCCACAGCTCTACAAGTAGAAACATCTCCCCCCGCCTCTTTACTCTAGAAATCACACATGTTTACATCCAGTGCGCATTCAGAATTACTGTTGAAGTGACCTGTCTAGAAATAATTTAGCAAACGATGCGTCAGTTTTTAGTCCCTTCGTCCGCTTCATTCGCGCCATCGCTGCAAGGAATCTCCAAGAATCACCTCAGTTTGTCTTCGCTCCTTTTCCCCTTCTCTTCTTCTTTCAGCGACCTCAAAAACCGACTTTCTTTTGTGGCGAACTGGTCGTGGATCCTCGTCCGCTGTCGCGACAAACTTAGTGCGAATTGCGTGGAAGCGACAATTTGAAAAATCCTCTAAGAACCGCTGCATAAACCACATAATCCCCGCGCGTTGACGAGTCAATTACACTAGAAACGTAGGGAGTTTGATTGACAACCTAACAGCCAATAGAAAATGAGGCAGCTTCGTTTTCTATTGGCTGATGTTTATCTGGCCTCACTACGTCCACAGTTGATAGATTTTCATAGTTTTTTTTTTTTTTGGTCATCATAATTACAAAGCTGCTGCGTCTCTGTAATGGTATTTTAAACTTTCATTGACAATTTGAAACTGAAAAAAAAATCCTCCATACAACCTTTAAACAAATTTATGCCACTGACACAAAAACCCAAGATCAGATTTAAAGCTGCATTGTGTAATTTATCTAGTGGAGGGTCCATCATATACTTTACTTCATGGAGACATTATTGCTTTGTCCAGCTTTCTATCTTCATGGAGACCAAATCAGACCAAGTTACAGGTCAGATCCGTGGAGAGGCGACCCCGCTCACAGTCAGAATGTCTGTTTTTAGGTATTTTGAAGCTATAAAACCATCTGTAATTTATTAAATGTAAAGAAAACCTGATTAAAGTCATACTGTGGGACATTCCAGGCAGAGAAATTACATATCCATAGAAACAAGCAGGCGATGGAGGATCCCCGACCAAAAAGTTACACCTTTAAACCACAAAAACTATTCTAAATCTACAATATTGTTAAAAAAACAAAATAATGAGCTGCAATAATAATAAAAAACTGCAGAACTAAACACTTCAGTTCTTAGTTTGCATCTGTAATGAGTCAGAGGAGTTATTTATTTAAACTTTTGCAGCTCGACTCTTATCGTATCGCCAAAAAATAACAAATTCCTGAGTAGTTCAAAACAAAAGTCCCCAAGATTAATACTGACTCCAAAAAATACTGTTCCAGGTTTCATATATTGAACTTTAAGTCGATATATTGTGATTAACGTCACAGTCTCAGGTTTAAAGGAACTACAAACTTCAAATTTGACGCACCTGCTTATTTTTAGCCTCATGTAGTCATCTGAAAGTGGTTAGTGGTCGATTTACAGACTCATTCTAAACTCTAGGCTCAGCTATTTTTTAGACATGGCCACATAAGCTGCAACAACTAATTGTGATTAATTGTGACTCATTGGCTTTTGTATATCCTTTAATAGTCACTCTGAGACAGTTTTATTAAGTCAAAATCAAAAGTTATACACAATACATTTTGTCATCAAATGTATGTTTATTTTATTTTTTAGAAATATGTTTTTTGACAAGTCGACCACTTAAATAATGCAGCCTTACAACACATAAAAGTATTAATATTGCAACTCTAATGATAAAAATATTGCCAGTAGGTCCTATATTATGCAAAATTCCCTTTTTTTAAAATTCGTTTTTATTCCGAGTTTGTGCCAAGAGAGAAAGAATAATCGTACACATACATTTTAAACAACAGAAAAGCTCATTTCTGGAAAAGCAACCGGAAGAAGAAAAAAAGCTAAAACTATATTAACCTGCCCCTCTTCATCACATAGTTTTAAAAATTCAAAAAATATGTGGTTGCTTCTGAACATTGATGATGAAACTTTACAAATAGTAGCTAAATAAAATGACTAAGTATAATTTTAACCCAATTTCTTTCTCTTTTTTTTGTATTGTACTGTATTACGGTCGTACAAACTAATAATAATGACAAAGAAGCGCAGAAGTTTATCGTTTATGATCGTATTAAAATAAGGTAAATGAGAATGAACCTGAGAAAATGAGATGTTATAATGTTGTTACCTTCTCAGACACAAACCTGGAGTTAAGTCTGTACAATTGATCGAATTTTGATTAGAGATCGTTTGACACACAAATCGAAATCGCAAACTCATATGATCAAGTTGAAACAATTTAAAGTTTAACAAAGTTTCTTTTGAGATATTTTGTACTATAAATAAGTATATTTATTTAATTTTTTAAATATAGAGATTGTAGAACAGCTGGATATATAGTTTATTTTGGATACATTTATGTTTTTCTATGCCTTGTTTCATGTTCAAAGTTTATTTTATTCATTTTATGTTTTATACATCACAAAACTGCTCTAAGGTACAGATTTGTAGCCTGTGTTTATTTTCAATTTGAAAGTTTTGCTTAAATTATCAATAACAAAGTGGGTTTTTTGTTGAGAGAGAGAGAGAAATGCATCGTGTAACAAAAAAATAATAATAATAATTGTGATTTCAATATTGACCAATATATAATCGTGACAATGATTTTTTCCATAATCAAGCAGCCTTGTATATCCAATCCATTTTATTTTTATAGCACATTTCACAAACAAACAATTTCCAAAGTGCTGCAAAAATACATATTAAAAACAACAATAACAATATAATGATAAAATAAATGCTCACATTCAGTCATACTAGTCCTAAAACAATAAAACCAGTAAAATAAAATAAGTGCAAAACCATAAAATAGCAATAAATAAATAGCAGTAAATAAATAAAACCAATAAAATACATTTACATATATAGAGTTGTTTTGTTTCATTCAGACATGTTTGAGTAATTATTTCCAAAGCTCAAAATGCTCGGTTAACAGCTCCTTTTTGCTTTAATTCAGTTAAAATTGACAGTTCCAGGGCTGAAATTATCCAAATGATGGGTGGTGTCTGGAGTGTTTTCTGTTGAGAGACAGTAACTCAGTCTAAATCTGCAGGGTTTGTGTGTTAAACGTGTGAATGAAACAAACTAAAACACAACTCCAGGTCTGTTTGTGATGAGGAAACGACATTATAACATCGATCGGTGTATAATATCAGCGTAATATCGACCCTTTAACGTGTGCGCCTCTTCTAACTTTCCAAACACAGAACTCTTGTCCCAGGATCTGCAAGAAGCCGCCGAAGACGAGTCCGATTACGAGCGTCCAGACGAGGGGAATCTCCTCTACAAACTCTACAGCCTGGACGAGCTGCTGCTGCTGGTGCGGACGTCCGTCTCCCTCGGACGCGACCGGAAACAGGACAGCCAAAAAAACCAGGTGCCGCCGACAGAAGCCTTCACCGGCGTCTCACCCGTGTCGCAATTCTGAATGAAAGGAGTGCTCATTTCTTCCTCCTCTTCTTTTGACAGTGCGTGCCTTTGAAAATCCTGCCGAAGCTCGAGTACCAGTTGACTTACGGCGTGGAATGCCTGAGCAGCAGTGAGGCGTGCCGGCTCTGGACTGAAAGATTACTTCATTCAAGCACAGAGTTTTTCGTCGGTAAAGTCTCCTGTACACTCCTCTACGCTTACTCGAAATACCTGCGTCTTTAAAATGATGTCACCGCGTTTTGTTTCGTAATTCGGAAGAAGTTTCATGCGGTTAAACCCGGTAATTACAGGGATATTAACCGTGAGGATAATTTGTACCTTGGAGTGTGTATCTGTGTCTCCGTGCCCTCATCAAAATATTGAATGTTTATTTTAAGTGGGCAAAATGTTTATAGAGATACACGCCTCAAAACAATTATAAAAACTAAATGAAAAAGAGTTACATGGTACTAAGGCATGCATTCACACTTGTACGTTCACATGTTAAATTGAGAATGGGAATAAATTCAGTTGAAACTAAAACCTAGATTAGACCAGGACTAAACCAGGACTAAATTAAGTCTACATCAGGTCTAAACTCGTCTTAAACCAATTGTGTGTAAACCTTAAAGATTCTGTGACAGGTTAGACTAATTAAAACACTAAAATACAGTTAAGGTTGTTGAGACTAAAGATGCATTCACACTTTCATTTCGAGACTGGGAATCAATCTGAAACTAAACCTAGATTAGACCAGGACTAAACCAGGTCTACATCAGGCCTACAGCGGTCTTAAACCAGACTACTAGGATTGTTGGGACTAAGAAAACATTCGCACTTGTACTTTCACAGATTAAAGTGAGAATGGGAATACATGTAATTGAAACTATAACCTAGATTACAACAGGACTAAATCAAAATTAAATTAAGTCTACATCAGGTCTAAACTAGTCTTAAACCAAGTGTGGGTAAACCTTAAAGTGCTAAAATGCAGTTAACATTATTGGGATTAAGAATGCATTCACACTTCTACATTCACACATCAACTTCAGACTGGGAATACATGAAACTGAAACTAAAATTTAGATTAGACCAGGTCTAAACCAGGACTAAACCAGGTCTACATTAGGTCTACAGTGGTCTTAAATCAGACTACTAGGATTGTTTGGACTAAGGATGCATTCACACATCAATTTGAGACTGGGAATCAATTTAAAACTAAATTTAGATTAGACCAGAACTAAAACAGGACTAAATAAGTCTACATCAGGTCTAAACTGGGCTTAAACCAAGTGTGTGTGTGTGTGTGTACACCTTAAGTGCTAAAATACAGTTCCGATTGTTGGGACGAAGGACTCATAATTTAACACATTAAACTGAGAATGGGAATAAATTCAATTGAAACTAAAATTTAGATTAGACCAGGACTAAAACAGGACAAAACCAACTGTACATCAGTTTCTAAACTGGGCTTTAAACCAAACTACTGTAGACTATTCATTGCACTAAAATACAGTTAAGGTTGTTGGGACTAAGGATGCTTTCACACTTTAAATTGAGAATGGGAATAAATTCAGTTGAAACTAAACCTAGATTAGACCAGGACTAAAATAGGATTAAACTAAGTCTACATCAGGTCTACAGTAGTTTAGTTTAGTTTAGTAACTTTTAGTTTATTCCAAAGGGCAATTCTGTTAAAGCAGAAGAAAGACACACAAGTATATTTCAC